CAGCCTAGCTCTACTGTGACATAGAGAAGCCATGAGTCAGAACTGACTCCATGGCAGCTAGTTAACTTTCTATTCCTACTACTATTGTTCTTATCTCCATCGAATTACAGAATTTCTAAATCACATGGCAAATTCTACTCAGTCCATATCCATAGAGAAATAAGTGGAAATCAGTGGTAGTTATGCAGAAATTCAACTTCTCTCTGGAAGACCCTGAGACTGGCCACATCGCTGAAACTCATGCCAGTTTGATGGGATGCTCTGAATTGCCACCTTGCTTTGAACAATGGGTGCCTTCCTCCATGTTGTGGGGGAGGTGCAGTTGAAGTCATTAGGCTATTACTGAGCCTCTGTGCTCTGTAGGCCACTCTAGGTCTACCAGGAGATATTGTAGATGGGGCAACAGCCACCCAGGGCCTGGGCTGGTGAGATGGCACTCCTATCTTCCAATTCCAATGGATACCTGCGAGAACCTTCTGTGAGAACCCACCCTCTCCTTCCCCAGTGGAACACGCCAGCTACTTGCTCACAGCCTCCTCAAGAGTGAATGTGCAGAGCACCTACTGTGGACACTCACCCCAAATGTCAGAGGCCTCTTGGACCAGGAGGCATTTTCTTCACAAGTGTTTCATCATAAAGCAGGTATCTAAAAGCTTGGTAGACAGCCTCCTCCTTCCACCTCCCTTCTCCTCCCCCTCCTTCCATATTCCCTTCCTCTCTTCTTTCTCTTTCCTTCTTCATTCCCTAACTTGGCTCCTTTGTTCAGGGACCTGTGACAGAGGTCAAATCAAAGGGTCCCAGAGCTTCCTTTCCTGGGACCTGTGCTGTCCCAACTCCCTCCACATGGCCCTGGGTAAATGGCTTTCCAGTTTCTTCAACTTAGTGGCACCAGTGTCTACAGATGTGCTGACCAGCCCAGTGTGGATGCCACAAAAGGCTTATCCCTGGTGCTGTCCAGAGGAGGGGATGGGTTGCTCTGGGCCCTTTTGCAGATGGGCCCAAGAGAAAGCGGAATGCGTGCAGACGCTCCCCTGCAGTTGGATGGGGGGAATGGCTCACAAATTATCCGCTGGTATTAACCATCACCCCCTTGCTGAACTTGCACCTACAGCCTGGGCTGCCACACCTCACAGGAAGGTCACCCACCCACCCTCCGCTGGGGCACTGAACCTCGGTTTCTCTTTAACCAGCTACTTTGAGGCTGCATGAGGCAATATCTGCCCGACCTGAAGGATTCTTCCATTCAGAATGAATGGAGTATTGGAAGATTTCCTCTGTCTTCTGTCATTTTCTTTGTTAATCTTGAGAGAGAGAGAGGAGGGAAGTGGGCTGTTACAGCAGGCCTGTTCTGCAGCTTTGCCCAGGATAAAGGAGGTGGCATAAATTGCGCGCATAATCTCAAGAGACGACCACTTTAAATCTTAATTGGTTGCCTTTTAAATATCATTTAAGGGCTGGCTTCTCCTGCCTCTCTCTCTAGTTAAGAAGGTGTCGTGTCAAAGTCTATTACCTTTCTGGAAGCCTCTCCCTTAAGTTAGAAAAAAGAAAAAGAAAAAAATGGAACCATCAACCGCCATTGGAGGGGTCGATAAAGCTTTTAGATTTGGAGACGTTTTCCGGGAGCCCATTTCCTGCGGCTAAGAGTTGTTAATGGAGCTTAAGGAATTGTCTGCGACCGGCGGCGGGGAGAGCCGTATATTTCCCGCGCCTGTCCCTTGTCGGGTCTGAATATGCTGCTGTCAGACTCACTTAATGAAAAGTAACGCGCCGCTGATTACAGTTTTATTTGGGCTCTATGTAAAAAGAGCCGTTAATTTAGCACCCCCCTTTGTGTGTTTGAATTGGCCACGGCCGAGTGGCCAGGAGCTCGGCTGCAGCCCTGCCTTTCTCGCGGCTGCTAGCTCCTCGTCTCAGGAGCTTGCAGGAGTGAAGCGGGGCTCCCCTTCCTGGCCGCTCCCTTCCACGGCCGCACCCACGGACAGTGGTCTTTTCCCTCAGCGGGGACTCAGACAGGAGAAAAGGATTTCCTCTGCCCATTGTGCGCCCCCCGCCCCCAGCAGGGTTCCCCTCCTCCACGCCTGACCTCCCGAAGATGGGCGAGAGAGTGGGTAAGGACGCTGAAAGCGAGCCTTCCGAGGGGTGTGGAAGTGATATCTCGGGGTCAGGGGCTTCCTTTTTGGTCCCATTGTCCCTGGAATGTAGCAGAATTGGCCCCTGCCCCGTCCCCCAAGCTCACTTCTTCACCAGACATCTTTATTTCACACAATCTCGGAGTTTACTCAAATCAGCTACTTTCATTGGCCAAGTTCATCAAGACCTCGCTTCCGCAACCTCCGATTCCCAGGGCCTTGGCCGCGGGGAGAGAGGCGGTCGCAGGCACCCAAGCCTAGAGTCCCAAGGGAAATGGGCTGGGTGGGTAGCAAGGGCCCTATGGGCCCCGGGCCGGTCAGAGAAGGGACCCCACCCCCTCCTTGTTTCCTGCAGACCTGGGCCGCGGGCCCGCCTCCCTGGGGTTCAAGGCCCGGCTGTGCTGTCTGTGGTCAAGGGGGCAGGCAGAGGCGCAAGCCTCTCATTTCTGCCTCGGTGCCCCCCCTCCACTATTCCATGCCACCTGCATCTGCGAAGTGGATTGTTGCGAAAATGCCCGGCTTTGTCTCGGGCTGGGCTGGGGGCGAGGGGCGGCCGCCCTCGGCCATATTAACATTCCTGGCGCCCCAGCCTCGGCCGCAGCGAGTCTCCCCGGAGACTCCACTCTCGCTATTACTGTCAAGTACCCTTGACTCTTTATTTTTGCCCTTTTATCTATTACAACTAATTCCAGTTCTTTTGCCCTTTTCAGTCTAAGACGTGGGCTTTCTGCAAAGCCTCCCCCTGCCAGCGAGCTCTCGGAGCGCGGAGCCTTTAGAAATTGAGGGGTTTACTGTCAAAATGAAAATTTCACTTCAAATTATCTTGGCTGATGCTCGCTCGCCAGGCCGGGGGCTCCGCCGCAGCCTTTTGACAGGCACATCAGCGGCGAGCTTCGGAGTCTCGATAATATCATCCAAGAGAGCGAAAGTCAATACGGTGACAGCGCGCGGGCGGATACAATCCAATTACCGCTGGGCGGCCGAGGGCAGGGCTCCGGCTCCGCTGCAGCCAGGTCCCGGGGCTCCCAGGCCCCGGCCCCTCCCGCCAATTCCCGGCGCCCCTCCGGCCCAGGCTTCCCTGGTGCGTAATCTTGCGCCAAAGCCCGCCCGGCAGGCAGGCCAGGCCGTTTGTGCAGAGCGCAGGGCTCTCCCTGGCCGGTTCCCTGGGACCAAGGACTCACAGGGCTCAGTTCGTCCTCCCCAGCCCCAGGACCGCAGAAGGGCCCCAGCCCAGTGTGCCCCTCGAAGGCCGCCTGCCGCCCTGCGGGGCGGTGCATCGTCACCAACTGACCTCTCCCGGCTGTCAATCTCCCTCCGCGTCCAGGCGAGGGCCTTGGCTGCCTAGTTGCCGCATCCCTTCCCCCTGTTAGATTGCCAAACGTCCTTCCTGCAGACACCTGGGACTGCGATGCGGCCAAGCTGGGCCTCAAGCAGCGGGTTTGCAGGAGGAACACACTTGGAGTCCAGTGCGCGCTACTCTCGTAGGCTGCCAGAGGAGCCCCCAAACCTACTAGGAGCCTGTAGGGGATACGAAGACTCCCGTGGGGCAACACATCCGCTAGACCAAAGCAGCTCGCCGCGAGAGGAGTCGGCCCGGCGGGGTGCACAGAGTTGGCTGGGCCGGGGAACCTGACACTTAAGCGAAATCACTGTCTTGCGGCAGGAAGGCTCCTCGGAGGGCCGGCCTCGGCCCGCGACCGTCCTGCCCCCAGTTGTTCGGGTCCTTTCCGCAGGCGCTTCCTAACCCCCAGCCTCCAGCCGGTCCCCAGGTCTTTCCCTTTAGCCTTTCCTCCCGCCACCTCCCGAAGCAGCAGTAAACTGTATTTCCGTGCGGAAGGCTGTCGGCCAAGTGGCTTTTTCCTCGGAGGAAAGGGACGAAATTAGGAGCCAGGAGGAGCCTTCCAAGGCCTCCTGGCTTCTGAGAACGAGGACGAGGAGGCTGGGGCACTCAGACGCCCCGGGCCCCAAAAGCGCCCCCAGACCCCCCACCCTGCCAGGACACAGTCCCGGAGAATTTAGAAAGCGTAAAAGTAAATCTGGTCAAAGAAACCCCTATTTTCTGCAAATTCTCGTCTGGTAATGGATTGGTGTTTTAAAAGTTAAAATTTTCTCATCCGATTCTACAGGGATAAGCAGAATCTACGTACTTTACAGCGACTATTCTTTTAAAAATTATTTACATAAAGTCTTGGGTTTGGCAAGCGACTTTATTGAGGTGGAGTCCGCGTCAGTACCCTCCCTCCTGGGGGATTAGGACCATCTCCTGCGAGTTCTCAGATCCCAGGTTTGACACGTGTTCATCTTGCAACGCAAACACTAGCACTCGGTTTTATTATATTCGCCCGTGAAGCAGGCAATTGTTGGTGTGAACATACACTATTATTATTATTAATTTTAATTGAGTCAAGAGTGTGCAATATTGTGAACTCGGTGGAAGTGCCGTTGGTGAGAAGCATGTGCTCAGGATGAATGAGAAGGTCAACAGCCGAGGAGTCTTCGTTAGGAATATCAGCATGCCTCAAATCCAAAAGGAAAGCGCAACACAAAACAGCCTCAGAAGAGAAAGTTCTTCGTGTAAACTCTTGGACGTAAACTTGATGCTTCGAGGTGGCTCCTTCCTACTCCGCGAGCAGCACTCTGCTCCGGATCCGGAGTTACTAGACGATGGAGTCACAGAACCAGCGCGCGGTGGTGCGCGGGGCTCGTCCTCGGCCACTGGAGACCCAGCTCAGAGCCTCTCTCTGCGCTGGGTTGGCGGCCTTAGCTTTCCCCCGCGCGGTGCCTCCCTTTGCGTATTTGGTAGAAAAACAGCGCCGTCCACGCTTGCGGCCTGAGCATCCGCTCTTCGGGATCGGCGGGGCCCGGCTGGCGCTAGGCGCAGAAGGGCTTGCTGCCGGCCTTGGGCAAGGCCAGCAGCTCCTTGGCCTCACCAGAGGCCTGGGCATCTTGGGGTGCGGCGGGGGGGAAGGCGCGCGCCAGGGGCGCCGTCAACACGTTGGCGCCCGGCCCCAGCGAGCGTCCCAGCGGCCCCGAGTCCAGGAGGGCGCCCTTGGCGGTGGCCCAAGCCTGGTTCAAAGTGCTGTGCCTGAGGATGGGGTCGTGGAAAACCCCATCCACCCAGTTTCTGAGACTGGTGACCGGGGAGTCCTGGTGCCTGTCCAGGGCAGCGGTAGGGGCAGGGACCGCAGGCGAGGACGCGGAGGGAGCGGACGAGAGGCCGTGGCGCTTGAGCATACACGAGGGAAACTCAGTCTGACTCAGAGCCGTGGCTGCGGCAGCTGTGGCCGTGTGTGCCAGGGACCAGATGCGGGGCTTGGCCTCCAGGCCCGCTGTCGCCCCGGGAGGTGAGAAGCCCAGCTTGGCCTCGCAGGCCTGCGAGCCGCACCCGGCGCCTGGCTGATGCTCGTGCCCGGCCGCTGCGCTTCGGAGGCAGCTCCGGGCCCTCTCCAGGTCCTGGTCCAGGGCCCCTCCAGCACCGGCGGCCATCGGCATCCGGAGGGCACCGGAGGCCTCCTTGCCTGGGGCACCAGGGCCGTCCGTGGCAGCGGGGACCCTCTCCAGGCCTCCATCCAGGGTCTGGAAGGGCGGTTTCAGTTGGCACTCCGTAGTCTCCGCCTCCAGGGCGTCGAAGTCGTCCAAGTCACTGAGCTCTAGCTCCTTGTCTTTGCTGATGGCCTCTGCCCAGGTAAGGAATAGTACCCAGCGGAGGAAGAGAGACAGACCGCTGGTTAATCAGGTGTCCTGTCTCCCCTTGTCACTTACTCCAGGCCCAACCCTATGCTGCCTGACTCTGAGGCTAGGAGAGGCACCTGTCTTTTCTTCACACCTCCCATCTCCCCTAGAGGTTCCCAGGTGGAAAACTAGCAACCGACAGGGCAGTCAATCTCAGCCACAAATTGTGGGAAGAGGGGGTGGAGTGTTACTAAACTTGATTTTAGATTTCTTTAGGCGTGGTCAGATTCACTACCAAGTCCCCAACAAACCCGGAGCCTCCCACAGCCCCTTCTCTTTCATTTGCTGCCCTCTTACTTAGAGTTTGTGACCCCACCCAACTTAGGTGCCCCAGGGCTGGCAGAGATGCGCAGGGAGCCTGGGCCAGCCGCCAAGGCCTCGGCACCAGCAGCACCCACCTCCCGACTCACCTTCGGTCTTGGCACTCTTGAGGGGCTCCTCCCGAGCCTCCTCCTCGCCCTCTTCCTCTTCTCCCTCCCGGTATGGCCGCTTCTCGTCTGCACACTTGTTCCGGGGTGGCCACGTCATCTTGTTCTCCTTCTTGAGGCGCCGGCGCGCGTTGGCGAACCAGGTGGAGACCTGCGTGAGCGTCATCTTGGTGATGATGGCCAGCATGATCTTCTCGCCCTTGGTGGGGTAGGGGTTCTTGCGGTGCTCCTGCAGCCAGGCCTTGAGCGTGCTGGTGGTCTCACGCGTGGCGTTCTTCCGCCGCGTACCGCTGTCCATGGTTCCGTACCTGGAGACGGGCACCAGTGAGCACCCGCTGCCGCGGCCACCCCGCGGAGGGCGAGGCCAAAGCAGGCCTCTTTTCCAGTCCTGCATTTATGGCCGGAAGCAGATAGCTGCACTCACCTCCGGTGGGCCCAGGCCCCAGCCAGGCTCCCCACCCCCACCCCTGCTGCCGGCACTGCCTTTTGCGCCCTGAGGCAAAGACAATATTTATGCTAAACTTACACAGAGCCCGTTCCCCCTCTAGCTGGAAGTCAAGGGCAGAAGGCGCACGCCAGGCCCAGCCAAGGTTGGGCCATTCTACTTAGATCGGTATTTCCTGGAGTTACTCTATCGGGCTTGTCCTACCCTTTTGATTGCGGCACCTTGAAAACTTAGCGCAGTGATGTGAAACCACACCCGAATATTTAATGTTGGTGAGCAGAAAGGGTCATTAGAGCCGGTGGAAAGAAACAGCCCTGAGGCTTCGCTGGGCTTTTTCCAGTTAAATGTTTTAAGTATCACCTGATGAAGTCGGCCCGCGCTTTCAGTGATGGGACGGGAGGCTGCGGAGGGCTTGACTGGGCCCGGGGTGCACTGCGTAGAATCCCTCGGAAGCCCCGAGAGGAAATAGCTCTGAACAGACCGGGTCTGCCAGACTCAACTATCCAGACAAGTACTGTCAAGGCAAGGACTTCCGGAGATCTGACGGGTGGCGCCTTATTTTAACCCTAGGGTGGCACAGGCACCAAGGAAGCGGACGTTCCACGTGGTCAGCTCCAGTCAGACCCTGGGACAGTCGTTCTCCTCCGCGCCCCACAGTCCCAGAGAGCAGGGGCGAGGGGGCAGTAGGGGAAGACTGGGCGGCAGCGGTCGCGCCGGGCCCTCGGGGGCGGGGCCAGGGCCAGGGCGGGGGCCCCAGTCCCTCACCTGTCATACGGGTACTGGCCCAGCGCTGGCTCGTACGGGTAGTACGCGGCGGCGGCGGCGGCGGGCGCCAGGCCCGCATGCGCAGATCCCGTCCCATCCTTGGAGTCGAAGCTGTTCTGTAGGAAAGAAGAAGTCTGGGGACGCAGCTTCCGGGCATGTGGCCCAACCCGAGCTCCTCCTCAAGGCCCCTTCGCTGCAGCAATCTTCACGCTGACCCCTGGGCAGCCCCACAGCCCGACTCCCGTGGCCTCCACACTGCCCCTCGGGCCCAGGTTGGGAAGACACTCATTTTAATTCTGCTTCCCAACTGGGTTCCGGAATGGTGGGAAGAACGCCCACAATGGAGGAGGGGCGTCGGGGAAAGGGGGCTGGAATGCGGGAGGGGAGAGTTGGAGGGGAAAGATAGAGAAGGGGGAGAGAAGAGGAAATGGGGACGGGGGAGAGGGAACAGACTGGGAGAGTCGGGGAGAACCGGGGTGAAGGGGTAACTAGGGAGGAGGGAAGAATGACAGACGGACGTTAGGAAGGAGGGGGAGGGCGGGAAGGGTGAAGGGGAGAGGAGGGGGAGGGGGAGAGAGTGGGGAGGGCTGGGGTGGGAGGGCAGGGGAGCAGAAGGAGGGGGCTGGTCGGATGGACGGACGGAGAAGGGGAAAGGAGGGATGAGTCGGAGAGGGATTGGGAGGGGAGGAGTAGGACAGCCTAGAGGTGTGGAGAGGGGACGGACAGGGAGGAACTGGAGAGGGGCAGGGGGAGAAAGGGGGCAGGAGGAGGGTGCGCTCAGAGCCAGAGAGCGTGAGTAGTGAACGTGAAACAATTGTATCGTGAAACAACAGATACATCAAATTCGGCACCCCACCCACCAGGGAGCAGGGTAGGGGGCGCAAAGTTGTCTTCCCACCCCCAGCGGTCTGTGGATCCGCGCCCCTGCCACCGAGTGCAGGGAAAGTGCTTTTGCCAATCGAGGGGCAGCACTGGGGCGGGGAGAGGTTTGCGGTGAGCCCCTTACCAGTGAGTAGAAGGCAGATGCCTCGGAGCCATAGGTCACGTAGTTGCCATAGCCCTGCGAGCTGCCGTAGGGGGCCCCGTAGACGCCGAGCGCGGCGGCCGAGTTGAGCTCGTGGCGCGCGGTGGCCAGCAGCCGGCTCTCGTAGACTGGGCAGTAGACCGGCGCCTGGGCCGAGGCAGCGGGCCCGGAGTCAGTCAGCGTGCGGCCGCCAGACTCGCAGCACGCGCTTAGGGAGTTGGTGGTCATCAGGAACTGCGGGGAGAGAGGGGCTGCGAGGAAGTCCCCACGTCTGCGAGCCTAGTTTAGGGCCCCTGGGCCTTCACAGGCCCTACGCTCCGCCTACGAGGGGTGGTGTGTCCCCTCGGGCCTGCAGGGGTCCACAAACGAATGAGCGTCCCCCACACATACACGCGAGCCTGTGCGCGCGCCCGGCCTCCTCTGGCCACTTGGGGTCCAGGCCGGCCTGGGCCAGGAGTGCTCATCTCACTTCCCCACCCGCGGGAGGTGTCCAAGGCGACGTGCGTCCCGCGCTCCACTTCTTTCCTTGCCTCAAGTATTTTGTAGGGTCCCCGGCTCCCCCGGAGCGCAGTCTGGGAGGCTCAGGTCGCTGGGCATTCCCAGGCAGGGCATTTGAGGCTCAGACCCTGCTCCCTAGGAAGCCGCTGCCTTTGCCTCTGGCCACATTCTCTGAGGCCTTTGGGGGGGGGGGGCTTACCTGGGGAGCCGAGGAGTAGGGGTATCCAAACTGTGGGTAGGACATGGCGAGCTTGACCCGGGGCCTCAGGGCGGGGCCGGCGGGGTCCGGGGCGCGGAGGCTCGCGTGGCGCGGCCACTGCTCCGGGGCCGAGGTCTCCTAATCGCTGCTGGGGGAAGCCGAACCCTGCGTTAGTTCTTCCACCCACGGCGAACTTTTTTAACCGGCTAAGAAAGAGAGCCTCAGTGGCTGCAGCGATTCTTTTACCCTCGCGATCCGGAGCCTCGAGGGGGCTCTGGGACCGAGTGGCCTCGCCGTGTCGACACAAATACATATTTTGCAAAAAAAAAAAAAAAAGGAAAGAAAGAAAAAAAAAATCAAGGAGACGGGCAAAGCCGTCAAGTCAGAAGTGCGCGGCTTTTAGCGGCAGAGGCGCTGACGTCAGCCCCACGCCGCGCAGCCGGGCCGGCCGCAGACGCGCGGGTCACTCGGCCCGCGTGCCAGGAGCGCGCGGCCAGCGGTCCCGGGCTGGGCGGGGAAAGCGCCCGGCGCTCCAGGCCGGCGGCGGGGCCAACCGGCTTTAACCAATGAATTCCATCCCGGGAATCAATACAGCCCCGATGAACGGCGTTTTCTCCTTAGTCACTCGTGGATGGGAGGCACTTTTAATTAGAAATTAATTAATGAGCAGCTGCTCCTTCCTACCCCACTGTAATCATTAGTCTCAATTACAAAGGAGACATATGAAGGGACACAGGAGTGAGTCTTCATTTAAGATGTAATCAACAGTTACAATTAGCCCAGTGCTGGCGGTACGCAGCCGCAGACCTCAGCTCCCCGAGAGCTTCTCCTCCTGACGCAGGAGGCCAAGCGCAGGCCTCTGTGCGTTCGGCCAGAGAGCGGCCCAGGCACTGCGCCTGGGCTTCGCTACAATTTAACCGCGACGTCTGAACACCTTGCTTCCGCGTCTCCTAGCACTTTGCCACCGGTTTCAACCGTATACAGATTCTGGCTTCCACAACCAACTGTGGCCACAAGTGTGCCAACCTCTGGAGCTCAAAACGGCCTCAGGGCTGTGGATGTTTGGAGCCGTCCCCAGAGGCGGCTTCTCGGGGTCTCGGTGGCCCAGGTGCGCCAGGGGCCTCCCCGGGCCCTTGGCTGCCAGCTGTCTCTCTCGGGCTGCCGCATCTCCCCCTGGGAACGCCCCCACCTGGTCATTCAGTTCCTACTCGGCTCACAGGACGCCCCCTTTTTACTCCCCCCCCCCACTTGGCAGGCTGCCTTCCGTCACCACCCCCTGCCCCACGCGGCCAAGCGGGGCACTGCTAGAAGTCCCAGCGCGCTCCCAAAAGCCGGTTTTCCAACTCGGACTGGGCCCCGCCCGCTCCTCCCGGAGACCTGGGGCTGGGGGCAGGGGCGGGGCTGCCGGCCCACGCGCGCTCTCGGTGCCCGCGGTGCGCTGCTCCCTGCCTGGCGAGGCCGGGCGGCCGGGGGAGGGGGCCAGGTACACATGGTCCAGCAGTCCCAGCCTGTCTCTGCCCGGGGAACTCCTCTGAGTCCGAAGCCGTGGCCCGCGCTCAGGCTGCAAGGGGGCGCCCGGCTCGTCTGGGCCTCTCGCCCCGCCGCCCTCAGTGGGCCCGGGCGCGCCCCTGCTGCTTTCGCCTGGCTGGGCCCCCCGCGGTCGGCTGGGAGGGGAGCTGCGTTTGGCGCTGTGCAGACTTGCTCGGAAAGATTCCTGGGTTCAGACCTGTGAATCGCCCCAGGGTCACCCTCTAATTAATGATGACGTTCTCGCCCTCTCCCCAGCTGCAAGCCTGCCTCGCAGAAACGAAATCTGCGCTCTCTGACAGCTCGGTTGAAGGTGATTGATGACTATCTGGAGACCAGAGTACACATCATATAATATTTGCTGCGTAATTGCTTTAATTTACAGATGAAAATACGAGTTCTCTGATCCCGCTGGACCGCAGCCGGCCACGTCCGAGCTGCTCGCAAAAGGAAACCATCGGAAATAATGAATAGCCGCCCCATGCAAATTATTCAGACAGTTTAGCGTCTGTAGCCGGGAGAGATGTATAAAGAACACGAGTCAAATGACATTAATAATTGTTTTGAATTCTGTATTGATTTTGCGGAGGCCGTGTTTATTTCTTTCTCACCTGAATTGCTAAGATCACCTTCCTGTAAATAATAAGAAACTAGCCACCGGGGCTTCTCGGGTGGAAATGAATCCCGATGCCGCTCTCCCCGGCTTCCTGCTCCTCCCCTCCCCCCATCTCCCTCCCCCCAATTCCGCCGGGTTTCTGCCTTTCACCGAGGCTTACGCTGATCACCCACCGACTTTCCATTATTTATTGTTTACAAACATCTCTCCCCCACCCCCTTTCTGTCTGTCTCTCTCTCTCTTCCTGGCTGTGTGGCCAGGCCCGGGGGAAGGATGTGCGGTGGGGGCCACTGAAGGCCAGGGAGCAGGGATCTCCAGGGAAGGATGACATTCATTAATGACCTGTGTTTTCCTCACCCCTGTTGGCCCTGCCCCATCTGGGCGCGTGAGGGTCAATGAGGGCCCTAGCGATTGTGAGCGCTCATCCAGGCCCAGAAGCAAAGCCACAACCTAGGGTCCAGCGGCCTGCGGCCTGCGGCCTGCTCCTGGCAGCTGGGGCTCAGAGTGCCTGGCCCACCTAGGCCTGCGCTAATTTCCTTTCCCAGAGACTCCCACCGAGGCTGGTGAGCAGCAAAGGAGCAGCGACCTGAACACCCTGGCCATTCATGTTCTGAGCAAGGCCTGGCTCCAACTGCTCCATGCACACAGCTGGCTTGGTCTGTCCTTGGGGGCCTCTGGAGGAAGGGTTACAGGGGGCTTCCTTTGGCCATCACTGCAATATTCTTTTTATTTTTCTTTCTTTCCAGTCTGCCTGATAAACAGACTCTCCCAGTCCCCACTGGCCCAGCCCAGGCCGTCTGTCTGTGTTCTGCCTCTCTCTGCCCTCACTCCCTAAACCCAGAAATCCAGCACAGGACTCCACTTCCTCAGGCAGCTGCACCCTGACGCTGGGCTTCCTGCCGGTCCCAGGTCCTGGCTGGCTGTGCAAGGGCCTGGCCCAGGCCACCCTGCTTCAGGAGGCTGGCTGCTCTAGAGGAGACAGCCACTCACCTAGACCAGGAGCTCACCCAGGCCCTGCTATCCAATCCTGGATGCCGGCTCAGCCCCGTGGTCTCCAACCAGATCGGCGCACACCAGGGGTTTCCTGGTGACGATGTGAAAGCCCACAGAGGCCCACTAACCCGAAGTGTGTGTGTATGGGCTTTCTGGGCCATCCATGCCCCAAAGAAAACCCAGTGTTAATGGTCCAAGTCCCCCATATAAGACGGAGCTGCGGAACTCGCCGGGCTTTCCTCTCAAACAGAGGGAACAGGGCTGTCAGCACCTCAAATACCCTCAGTTACATGCCTGTGTAGACGAGGTGTGCTGAGCGGGCTTCCCTTGGTGGCCACCTCCAATACTAAACACATCTTGAGTGGGACCGTCAGAAGCCACAGGATTCCCCGCTGACCCAGCTGCAGCTGCACTTCTGTGCGGTGCCCCACGGGCCTGCGAAATTCACAAGGAGTCCAGGGCCAGGGGACTTGAGCAGGCCGCAGAGGGAACAGAGGGCTGGTAGCCCGAAACATTAAGCTCTCACAGGGCCACACTATTCACCTCAGGCTGGTGGGAACAGCGTGGATGTGGCTGTGAGACCTTGGGCCGTCGGAACGGTGGAGGCACGCTACGGAGACAGGCTGTGCTCTGACCACCCCGCGGTTCCCGATGGAGTCTTGCTCCTGGGACCAGCTGAGTCCAGGATCTCCCAGCCGGTTCCTGGGGTCTTCCCGGGGCCTCTCCCACGGCGCGCACCGAGTGCCGCCCAGGGCTCTCTCCGGCCCAGCAAAGTTGACCCCAGCCAGAGAGCCTGGGCAGAGCCTGGAGTACCAGGCAAGGCCTTCTTTTCTGAGACGAAGGCCGGACGGAGGCCGAGCATCTGTGCGCACTGCTCGCGGACGCCCAGGGTCAGTTGCGTTCTTGATCACCGGGCGCGGGATTCCCGAATCCCGAGACTGGCAGGTCATTCATTCGCAGCCCGTCCCTGGCGTCCCTGCCGGAACCAGTGGGGCGAGGTGCAGGGCACACATTAACTCCCTCCTCCCCGAAATGCCCGCTTCCAGCCTCTCGTGCGTGGTGCGCGATTCCCGCCCGGCGCAGCCCGAGGCCGGAAGGCGCGCAGTCCCGGCGCCCGGCCCGTGCCCCTGAGTTCCGCCCACTGGCCCCACTGCCCGGCGTCGCCCCCGCTCCCCGCGCCGCCCTCCGCGTCCTGCTTTTCGCAACTTGCAGTAGGCGCTCCTGTCTCCACTTCCCCACTGGCGGCTAGCAAACTTTGTCCCCTCCGGCGCGGGGACCATTCTCGCAAAGTTTGCGCGGCCGAGCCCACTCCTACCTGCGGTGGGGAAGCGCCCGCCCGCGCCGCTCGGCGCCCGGGCCGCGGTGAGCTGGGCGCAGCCGGGACGCACCAGGGAGTCGCCGCGCCGCCGCCCGCGCCCCTCGGCGGAAGCGCGGAGCCTCCGCCTCCTCTGATGGGGGGAGGGGTCTCGGAGCCCCTGGGTGGGGGCGGCCGCGGGGACCTTGCCTACCTGTGGTGGCGCCGGGCCACTCCTGGCCGCCCGCTAGGGCTCGGCGCGGCCGCTCGGCGCGCGCGCTCCAGCGGGGAGCGGGCGACAACTAATGGAGACATTTCCAGGCGGAGCACCTGGCGAGCGGAGCGCGCCGGCGTCCCCAGGCGCCGCGGTCGTCAGCAGAGCCCGCACGGGTGTGACGTGGGCGAGCGAGCGCCGCTGCTCCCACCCGGCCGCCCATTAACGCTTTCCCCCGCGGCGCCGCGCGCTGCCCAACTTTCCCCTTCGCGGCGGCCCCGCGCGCTGCTCCGCGGGTGGAGGAGCTGGGATGCGGGGCAGGCGTGGGGCGGGGGCAGGAACCTGCGGGCGGCAGGGCGGGGACGCCGGGCTCCGCGCAGACACCAGGGATGACAGAGGAGCCGAAAGGCGTCCTGGTCTTGCTTTGAGCAAAGGCTTCTCCCTCTGTGACGGCTCCAGGAGGCCCTGGTGTCCGCCAGGGCCAGCAAAACTGTGCCGGGGAAGACAGCCCTGCTCACTCTCGCCCAGAGTGCGGAGCTGGCCCTGCGCACTGGCCGGGGTCTTTCCGGCCCGCTGCTCTGCCGAGAGCGCAGCCTGCTAGCCCTCTAACTAGGCTAGACTTCCTGACTCTAAGGCTCTTGAGCCTTCCTGTCCTCTGTCCTCCTTATGGCTCTTTCACACTTGGGCGGCCCAGTCCTTGATTCTCTCTCTGGTGTGCACACTGGTCTCCAGGCTGCTCTGAGGTGACAGATACAGGGCAGGGGTCCAGAGCTGGGGTGTGCACACCAAGGCAGGGGAGGTGGGCACAATCTGATCAAGGTGACAGCTGCTTGTGGGGCCAAGGAGTCTAGGGCTGCTCAGGGCCTGCCCACCCGATGTCCCAGCCTGCTCAGGACTGTCCACAGCCATAGGCGAGCCTCTTTCCTGGAAATAGACGAACCTCTGTCATCTACAACCTCAGTGTCAGAGCTGAAGATCCAGGCCTTGGTCACCTTTACTCAGTCAATCCCGGATCCCCTAGTTCCCCTCCCCCAGGACCCCTTACCCCCAAATGGGTGCTAGAATGACTGGGCGGAAGTCCCTTTGCCTGTCTGTGGAACTGATGCTTACAGAGGCAAGGACAGGCACAGGAGGGACACAGGAGCCCCAGGAGGCCCCCAGGCGGCCCCCAGGCCCAGGTCAGAAAGCACAAGGACTCCTGGCAAACGCAGGTGCCACCTCCCGAGAGGGCCACTCCCACAGGTGTTGCAAGGCCAGGCATCCTGCCCTAGGGTCCTGTCCTCTGTATCAGGTGACTGTGCCCCTCAGGCCAGGGCCTCCTCCACTGAAACAGGAATCCTTTCTTCTTTACCCCTCCCCCATCATCTTCTCTTCAAAGGCCCATGGATGTATTTCTCTTCATGACCTGTGGCTGATAATGAAGTTTGAGATGAGTGGACTTGGTTAATGCCTGACCTTATTTGCTGTGTGCCTGACTCTTTCTTGCTTCCTTCCAAGCTCTCTGCAGTTGCTGGGAAGGAGATGCCTCTCTGACTCCTCCCCCAGCGGTGCCCTGCTGGGCTTTGTCCCCAAGCTTCCCTTATTCCTCCTTCTCCTCCTTTGGGAAAGAAGGCCTAGATGCCCCCGGCTCCACACCCACAGGCTGAGTGCAGAGCCCCTGGCGGCTTTTCTGGGAAGGACACAGTGTTGGTCTCTAAACCGGCTGAGGACTTGATACCAAAGTGTCATTGAGCCCGCTTTGTGGGTGCCCTGTGGGGAGGCTCTGGGCCTGACGGAAGGGGATCTACTTCTGCTGTCCCCTCTCCTGCTGGCCTCACTAGCCAGACAGCAGAGCAAGGACTGGGCGCCCTCTGCATGGGCAGAGATGGGAAGCTGTTCCCTGGAATGGGAAAGGACTCCCTTCGTCCAACAGGAATTAAGGAAAAGTCCGCACCACCCTGGGGGTGGGAGGGAGGCTTGCTTTGGTTCTTCGTCCCTCAGCTCTCTCTTAGCCATCACCTCCTCCTACAGGATGCTCTTAGCTGGGCCCTGGGGGCCACTGGGCAGAGCTGACACTGCTGAAAAGCTTTCTGCAGCTTAATGTAAGCAAGATAAGTTTCTTTCTAAAACCTTGATTTACTTGATAATCTTATTTCCCTAAGGCCCTTATAAGGAGCTCTGGTGGTGTAGTGCCAAAGGCATTTGACTGCTAACC